ACTTGAATCAGGTTTTAATTTTTAAATCTAAGAGACTGTTCCTCTAGGCCTGGCTGGTGATCAGGACCATCTGTGGGGCAACCGATAAGCGGGGCGATCGGGAGGGGCCCCCACTGGCACCTGCCTTGGCTGGCAACCTGGCACTGCCAGCTGGCTGGCCCTGACTCCCAATCAGCACCACTGGTCATCTGCCTCCTGGTAGTCGGTGCGTGTCATAGCAACTGGTCGTACTGCCGTTCAGTTGATTTGCATATTAGGGCTTTATTACATAAAACTAGAGGCCTGGTGCACGGATTTGTGCACCGGTGTGGTCCCTGAGCCTGGCCTGCATCCTCTCACAATATGGGACCCCTCAGGGGATGTCAGACAGCCGGTTTCAGCCCTAGACCACAGGCTGGGCCAAGGCCCCCCGAGTACACAAATTTTTGTGCACCGGGCCTCTAGTATTTTATATATAAAAAAATAAAAGTCTGCACAATGCAAGGCTTACTGACAACCAAATTCCCACATGGGAATAACAGGTTAAGGTTTGATATCCAAACTCCAAACGATTTATCAGAAAGCTACAATTTGAGAATTTCTCAGAGATTTTAGAGGGAAAAAACTTAAAATAAAAGTTATCTGACATATGACTGTAGATTAAGGAATTAAAAGATTACATATCACTCATAAAATGAATACAACTAGAGAAATCTTTGTCTATTTCATTGAGTAAAAGGCATGTGTTTAGAAATTGCTAGCTGACAAGACAAAAGAAACCTAAAAGCAGATATATGAAAATGGTGCTAAAAAGAATCTGGAAGTGACTGCCATCTTCTAGTATAAATCTCAAAAGCAACATTACTACATGATGAGTAGGCAAATCTGAAGGCTTATTCCATTTAAATGTAAACAACGCAAAACAAAAACAAAAAAGAATCAAGGATCCTTTGTAAGGTAAGATCAACTAATCATTGATGGACCTTCTGCTATCTACACTGTCTCCTTCATGGCTTATTCCTACCTAGTATCCTTTCTACCTCAGGTAGTCCTCTTTGCATCTATTACAATTTTTCCACCTCAACTGTACTTAAAATGAAATAAAGATGCAGTGCTATATTTTTAGTAATACAATCAAACTCAATCCCAGTGGCTATGCCTAAATTATAAACTTTCTATCACTTACGTGCCTTGGTAGGTATCTGGGCTGAATAAAACAAAGACATGATACCTTCCTTAAAGTATCTGGTTTAATTGGAAAAACAGGTGTCTTTTCTCTCACTTGTGCTCTCACTGTCTCATACATGTATCTATAGCCATACATACACACACGAGATATTAGAAAATTAGAATAAACTCAAGTAGTAGGGGTTAAAAGTATGCCAGAATTCAGAACATTTACAGCAACGAGTAAGAGTAGTAAAGACAGAAAAAGAAAATTTTATGAAAGCAAGGGAAGTGATTATAACCAAAACTTAAAGAGTGAACTGCCCTACTGATCTCTAGGAAAAAAATCACTGTCAGATTGCGGGTAAATGTAACCGATCCTCATTAAAAAAAGGACTCTAAAGGAGACAAATGTACTACTCTTTGTAATATTTTAAGCAATAAAAAAAAGGACTCTAAACAAAATTGACAGCATTTACAATAGTATTAGAGTTAAACCTTACCTATTAATATATATTTTCCTAATATCCAGTCTCTCATTTGTTAGTTCTAGGTAGACATGTTAATTCACAGATGCAATAATTATTAGGTCACTCAGTCCAATTCTATTTCACAAATGAGAAAACTAAGAGCCAAAAAGGTTAAATAACTCCTTTGAGGTCACACAAAATTCATGCCTTGCTATTTTGAAAATTAGTAAGTGTGAAGAGTTTACTTTCTTTAAAGGGATTCTGGAGACTTCTTTGATAGTCTCTAATTCAAATTTCATCAAGAAATGTAATACATTCAAATTATTCTAATCTCATTAAAACACCTTACAACCCTGGCGGATGTGGCTGCGGTTAGAACGTCAGCCCATACACCAAAGGGTAGTGGGTTCAATTCCCAATCAAGGGCCTGAGTTACGGGTTCCTCCTCATGCCCCCCAAATTCCCACCTCCCCACAACCCCTAACGAATCAGGATGCATGCCAGAGACAGGAGTCAATGTGTGCATCAGTATTTCTCTTCCTCTCTCCCCATCCCTCCCACATTCTCTGAAAAGCAATGGAAAAAATATCCCAATAAAAAAAACAAAACACCTTACAAATTTAAGGTCTGTAAAAACACAAGTATACAAATTCACCTTGGGTCAAACCATGAATTTAAACAATTTAACTCCACAACTTTTGATTATGATGCTATATACCCACCGGAAGATCTCTCAGGGCAGCTCCTGGCTAAAACCCCATTCCCAGGAGGGTAGCCCTTAATAGCACATGTATACTTACTCCCCCTGTCCTTGACTGGTAGACTTAGAGGGAGACAGATACCTGATGCAGGCCAAACCAATAACACCCCATCTCAGGAATCTGGAATTCTGAACTTAAAGAAATATAACATTGATGATAATAATAGCTACTACTTATTATATGCTGACTGCAAGCCACGAACTATCCCAAGCACACTACAATTCATCCTCCCAATAACTCCATTAGATTTCACAGATGGAAATTAACCTGCCTGGTGACTCAGACCCATACAGTCTGGCTCCAGAACACATACATGTACTTAACCACTAACCTATATTACTTCTCAAAAGATTGGGAATTACTAGAATGACATTAATGTCACCATACCTGCCCTGGTTCTTGGCCTTCCCAAATCTTGACTGTTCACTTCTTTCTTGGGAGTCTATGAAACAACCTCCAGGAATGTTAAAGAAACCAGACTTGGTTTTTGTTACTTGAAACCAACCTACTGATCCCACCAAACATTTTTCGGCCTCATTTTTAGAGAACTGATACTGATGAAATCTAAACTTACACCACAGATGGATCATGCCTTTGAATTTTTAAAAAAGGAATGTGTTTACAAAAAGAATTCACCACAAAGTTTCATAATATTCCCTGAGGCAAAAGTTAGTACCTCCTCCATGCCTATGAGATATTAAGTGATAGAACAGTAGAAATGTAATGACACTTAGATATCATCTGCTTCTCTACACACTCATTTTACAGATGAGCAGTACAATGGTGAAGAGAAGAGCCCAGGGTCATGAACCTATAGAGCCCGAGTTCAGGTACCACCTCTATCATGTTCTAGTTTAGATAGGAGCACCCCTGTGCAAGATACTTAATTTCTAAAGGCTCAGGTTCTTTTTCCGGAAAAGAAATAATAGCAATCTACTGAGTTTAAGGAAGTGCCTGGAACATGCTCAACACACTCAATAACACACACTCAATAAATGGTAGTGATGAACAACCAGAGATTCAGAGAAGGTAGGCAACTTTCCCAGATCACATGGCCACTTAACAGAACTAACTTAGAAAACAGATTTCACACTTGTACCGCAATTCTTTCTTCTACCCCATCCTACAAACTGCTGGGCCTAACATTCAAAACTCTGTATAATCTGGCATAATCCTACCCTTTTTTCAACCTAGTCTCCACTGCAACGATTTTATTCATTCAATCACCAGATATTTACTGAGTGACTTCTAGATTATAAACAGTATCTAGTGCTGAATGATAAAAGTCATCTGCATGTCCAAAACAAAGAGAAAGATCAAAGTGAATGACATGCTCAGAAATGATAGACTACAGCCCCCCTCAAGTTTCTGTAAGTAGGGGAAGGATAGACAAGGATAGATTCAAAAACGTAACATGCAAGAAGAACCATAGCCAGGTGGCTTGTTGGGTGAGGATAAAAAATATATATAACATGCATTAGTCTGTGTAACATCCATAGAACTAGTTTTGAGTATTTCTGCACTAAGTATTTGCTTCAACATACCCACACAACCAAACCTGAAAGTCCAAATTGTTAAATCCCTCGCCAAGGAGCCTTCTCTATACATTCCAGGACCAGTTTTCTCTTACTCCTCTTAACTGCACCAACAGTTAACTTTTTCTAATGCTCTTTTAATGTCTTTCAGGCTGACTTAACCTGGTAGTTTTTCTAACTTTCCAAATACATTTTTGACCTCAATGATTCATTTAAGTTCCCTGAAGTCAAGATCAGTATCATATTCTTCTTTTAATCCTAACAGCACTTCAGCACACTGACTTACACACATTGACATACAGAACCCTTTCAATAGTTTCCCAATCTCTTATTTAGGTAACACCTGGAACTTAGATGATACCTGGCTGGTATTTGCTTTTGTTGGGGAAAAAAAAAACCAAAAACCCAAACCAAACCAAAAACGCTTAATGTTTTACAGTATCAGTTTACAAAACTGCATTTTATACCCTCTTTAGAACCCCCTATTATGAAACATGAAATATATTAGTACCAAAAATTACTTTGAAATGGTAGAAAGATTGAATATATTTCTACTCTACCATTCAAAATATCACAAAATATTAAGATGACAAAAATTAGGCAACTAACATATGAGGGGAGAAGTGGCAATTTAACTCAGTCATGATCTTTTTCTTTAAAAATAAATGGAATCACATGCTTCATGTAGATTTTGGTTCATTCCAGTATAAAGAGATCTTACACAAATCTATATATACCTGTGAGAGGGGTAACTAACACAAATAAAGACTAATACTGCAACCATACCATCTATAAAAAATTCTGTATTTAAAGAGGCTTGACTCAAGAGGGAAAACAAATGAGCATTTGAGTGTACACAGTACATCAAAATAAGAAACCAACAAGAATCCCTGGGACAATAACGTACCACATTGTGCTAACGAATTTTACACACGCACACACGCACGCACGCACAGTGTTTCATAAAAACCTAGCTCTTGGTATAGAAAACCAAATAGAAGCTCATTCAATACTCAGCAAACATATATCAAGCATAAGTTATGTGACAGGCACAGTTCCAGGAACTGAAATATATTAAGGAACAAAACCTGCAAAGATCCCTGCCCTTATAGAGATTACATTTTACTAGGAGAAAATATAATAAAATAGGATAATTTCCTACAAGTTTATTATATGGTTAGGATAACAAACACTCAGATAAACATAATGGTGCCAACATAGGGAAAAGCAAAGTTAACAGACTTACAAGAAAAAAAAAAAAGAAAATTTGAAAAGCCAAGAGCAAAAGTCAAAGTGATGAAAAATCACACTTCTTAATTAAATATTTTAATCAAACCAATATCATTTACTGTTCCCAAAATTATAAAAAGTACTTTATTTACAAAAACTATAATTAACGTAATAATCGTTCGTAAGATAATTCGGGGTTTTATAAGAAGTCAATGTGCAGCATAGTGGTTATGAGAACGGGCTTTTGTGACATTAAAGGCAAGGATCTGAATTCTACCCCTGCCAGTTACTAGCAGTCCTTCAATTTCTTCATCTATAAAATAGAAACAAAACTTCAAAGGGCTGTTACAGGATTAAATAAAAACTAAAATCTAGAAACAACTGAAAATCCAACAACAGATGGAAGGAAGGAAGGAGGGAGGGAGGGAAGGAAGGAAGGCGAAGGCAGGACCTTGAAGGGGTTTTATATGGAAAAAGCAGAGTCAGAAAAGGGATTTGTTTTAGAGAAGACACAATTAGTTCTATTACACACAGGGAGGGCAAAAGTAGGTTTACAGTTGTGATTATGCAAAAACAGTTTATCCTTATATTATTGTTTAACTATTTATTTGTATTACAATAGTAAACCTACTTTTGCCCATACCCATATTACAGTATGTAAATTCAGTAAAAGGAATGGACTGCTATATGCAACAAGGATGAATCCTTAATGCACTATGTTGAGCAAAAGAAGCCAGACACAATAAAATATGTATGATTCCATTTATATGAAGTTCTAGAAAAGACAAAACTATTCTATAATGAGAGAAAGCAAATCAGTGGTTGCTCAGAATTACTGGTGGAGACGGACTAACTTGCAAAGGAGCACAAGGGCACTTTTTGGGTGTTTAAAATGTTTTTATATCTGATTGTGGTATTTCCATCAGAATACACATTTGTCATAATTCATTAAACTTGATGCTTTAAATGGGTACATTTTATTGTATTTAAATTATACCTAACAAAATTGGTTTTAAAAAGGATTAAGTAAAATAATAAGGCAAAGTTCTTGGTACAGTACCTGGTGCATAAGAAATATTCCAAAAATGGTAGATATGTTAAAAACATCAACTACCACTATACAAACTCATGGGGAGGTGGTAAAACCACTGATTACCTGATCTTTCTGGTTGTGTAGATTCTACCCTATTTGACCTAGACCAAGCAATAAGGAGCACTACAGAGACCAAGTTATAGAACGATGACAACTGGCTGTCACTCATGAAAAAACAAGTCTTCCGACTTATGTTAATTTTTAAAAGAAGAAGAAAAAAACTGATATCCCATTTAAACATTCTGGGGAAGCAAAAGACTTCAGACTGCATATATAAATCTTAACTGTCAGGGTTTGTTTAGTTTTGCTTTAATTTTAAGAACCTCCACTTGTAACATTAAAAAGGCAGAAAGGACAGGACAGAGACAAGAAGTCCTGAGACAACTCTAGTTCTATCAGAATTTGGATTTCTTCTTGCCTAAAATTGGGTAGATGAAGCAGGCTTCTGAAAATAACCCAACGTTAACACTAATAAACAAAATTGTGCTGGGGTTAATTAAGCATTTATTTTTCATATATCAAAAATAACTAACTGCAAGTTTTCCCCCCTAAATTCAAATAAAATACCAAGACACATGTGGCAAATTAAGGACCTAAAGCAGTAACTAAATATAATGCTGATCACCGTTTACAAACACTAACATATCTTCCACCGGCTAATTATTCATTCTACAACAAATTTTTTGATTAAAGTTTTTCCCAAACCAAAATAATAGGATCCAAGTAGTTACACACAGTACAGGGTGGGACAAAGGTTTGCAGTTGTTCGTATGGAAAATAATACAATAACTAGTAAATAATACAAGAATAAACTGTCTCACGTTCTCACAACTGTACTTTAAGGCTCAGAAGCCACCTTTCTTTTGGGGTCAAAACCCATAAAATAACATTAACAGAAACTTAAATTTGTGGAATCCAAAGTTGTGCTATTTAAAGTTCAATTCAATTAATTCTTGTACATACTATAACTTTATTTTAATTATCTTTTCCATGGAACACTGAGCTAAGTTAGAAATAAGTTTTATTCAAACAACCGAAAGACTTTTCACATCTGACTTAATTCTAAACTTCCAGCATAAATGTTGGGCTTTCATCTTATTATTTACTTAAAAGACGTTGGAATGTTCTTCCTGATAGTGCGGCCACATTCATTTTCTACTGAAAGTGCAAAATTTTCAAGTAATCAAACACCACAGAGAAATGCGATTAAATCACAGCAGAAAGCAATGGCAGGGTAATATCATGAGGCCAGAACTCGAGCAGCCAATCAAAGGCATAAAAGCATTTCCTGCAATATTAATAGTCAAAAGAGAAAACCAATCACAGAAACCTCGCGCCTTCTTTTGACAGGCACAGAAGCGAGGGAACCAATCCACGAGCACCCGGGGTTGACAATAAGGCGGGACTGCAGGTTCATTGAAGAAATTCGGGAGGGTGCAGTTACTATAAACTTCGCATGCAAGTAACACCACTCCGGTGTCATAAACACTGTCAACCCAGATGAAATTCAACCGTATGCAAAAATTCAACCCATGGGGAGGAAAAGCAGCCATTGCCAAAAAAAAAAAAAAAATGCAACTGTCAATTCAGACGCACCA